CCTGACCAACATGGAGAAACCTTGTCTCTACTAAAAACACAAAATTAGCGGGGCATGGTGGCACATGCCTGTAATCCCAGCTACTTGGGAGGCTGAGGTGGAAGAATCACTTGAACCTGGGAGGCGGAGGTTGCAGAGAGCCCAGATCGCAACATTGCACTCCAGCCTGGGCAACAAGAGCGAAACTCCATCCAAAAAAAAAAAGGCGTAAGCCACATTTCCTGGACCATCCCAAAGTCAGGGTACAAACCTGTGGCCTGCCTCTGTTATCAGAGGCCCTTCCAGGAGACCTGGAGGTGGAGGGGAGGCGGGAGCCTGAGAGACACACAGTCATCTGGCAGGCACTGTAAGGGGACAGTCTGATACAGTTTTGGAAGCTTCTGGAGTTCTGTCTTTGAACAGGGGCAGAATAGCATGGGGCAGGGGTATTTCTTCTGGCTAAAGAAGAGCTATCACTCCTAGGACTGTAACACCTGAGCCCGGCTGGGTGGTGTTCCCAGACAAGCCAAAATGAATTCCAGTCTGTAACTGAGACTCTGACCCATTCACAGTGCTGACATTTGCTGAGCACCTACTTTGTGCCAGGCACTTTTCCAGGGGCTGGGGATAGAGCAGTGAACATGACAGATGTAATCCCTGTCCTTGGGGAGATCACATTTGGGGGTGAGAGTGAATAGACATGACAAAAGGAATGAGCAAATTATATAGTGGTCATCAGTTCAGCTTGTGTTTCTTATGTCTCTTTCAAGGTGCTCTTTGTAGCACGTTGTAGAAAAACACCAGAGGGGCACCATTCCCCATTTCCACGAGTGCTCATGCTTCAGGCCAGAACTTGTATTAGGTCAAGTCTTCCATCTTGACAGTCCAAAAGCTAATGTGTGTGTGAAACAGAACCTGATTGCACTAACAAGTTCTAGTTGACGCCTCCAGACCACCAGGATGCTCAACCCTTCCCCTTTCCTAGGGTTACCTCTAAGTTTGGAGGGGAGGTCTTACCAAGACACCAGAGTCAGGGGAAGAGGCATCCTTCTAGAACTCAGTATCTGCCATCTGTCTGCACTGACACCCACAGAGAGGTCCACTGTCCTTGGTTCTTGGTTTTATGCATGGGCCCCCTTGGTTCAGTGGCTCTTTCTACTGTATCAGGGCCTTGGGGACACCTCTGGAATGGCTGTCTGGAGCCCTTGCTGTTCAGCCACACTCTAAAATCATTGCTTCCCACTGGGTTCTGGCTGCCTCCGTGTGACCCTTCTCAGCAAGGGAGACACCTATTTCTTCTCTCCTCAGATCCCACAATCCTCCCTACAATTAGTCCAGCCAAACAGGATGCAGGTCTTCTTCCTCAAAGATTAGGAAAATCTATGCTCTCCCTCCTTGTCCTTTAGACACTGCCTCCTCTCCTCAGCTGGGGAAGAGGGTATAGCATGAGGATGCATTGCTCTAATTTAGGTCATCTCCCAAATGTTTCATGCATGCCAATAATGCATGGCTTTCCGGAAAGGGCCTGGGCTTCTGGAATGGAAAGTGTCATGAGGAGACCATTTCCTCCATTCCCTCCCTGTTTTTCACTGTCCTGACTCTCCCCTGAGGTGATGAGCCTAGAATAGTTTCACTTTTTGGAAAGGCTTAGAGGAACATGATGAAGGAGGATGGAAAGAAGTAGCTGATACTTTTAAAAAATCACTCCACAGACAAATACAATGCAGCAGCAGAACTAGGGCAGGCTAGTAAGAGGGCAGACATGGAAGAAAAGAAGAAGAAAGCTGGCACCACTGGGATGTGGCTGCTTGTTGTGCTGCCGCAGGCTGTTTTGGGGATGAATGAAGTTGCTTGTTTTTCATTTAAGAGCCAGGATTTGTCTAATGAAGACCCTGCTCAAGCCAAGTTATAGAGTTGGCTCAAGACAAGAATGAAGCTGTGCTGTGTGAAGAGTACTGTTTCAGATGTGTGTATTCTTCCTTCGAAAGGTAGGAATGATATGGAGTGGGAGTGGGTATGTGGAAAGAAAATGGTTTCTGTGTCAAGGAAAAGCTGTCTAGAGTCTAGTCACAATAAAAGGCAGCCAGACATGGGTAGTTCAGCTTCAAAGGGCCAGAATAAAGAAATACATTAAATAAAAATAATGAAATCTGCACACAGGAGTACAGAGAAATAACTCAACACTGTAAGAAAGCAAAGACTGAAAATAAACCTGTGAAAAGAAAGAGAAGGGAAAATACTTCAAGAAGAGAGAGAGAGAGAAAAAAGATGGAGAGAAAGAGACAGAGACAGACCCAGTAGGAAGAAGCAGTAAATAGAAAAAGCATGGTAAGTTACTGTTGGGTAAATAAAAGTATATATGCATACATGATATATTCCAGACACATATTCCTTAAATCAAGTTGTTGGTAAATCAGTACATTTGATAAATATTAATACTTCATTAATCATTTGGCAAATGGATGTTTTGAGTGATCAACTAAAGTCACTTAGTGATATGACCCAGCATCCAAATTAGCCTCTGGACCCCAAGCCCTGAATTTTCAGAGCATATTCCACTTCTTCCTGAAACAAATGAAAAAGATAAAATAAAGTAGCCCAATAGGATATTGAACAGGGCCTTCAAAGCAAGCTGAGAAAGATTCATTAGGTTCACACAAATATCTCGTGAACAAAACCAGAAGCAGGAAAAGAAACAGCTGTGGAAGGATCTAACCAGGACTAACTGGTTCAAGGGATGTTTGTGGGGAAAAGACACAGGAATTTCCTCAAATAACTACTGTAAGGAGGTATGTGTATGCTTGACAGGTTGAGGCGGGAGGTTGGCTTGAGCCCAGGAGTTTGAGACCATCCTGGGCAACATGGCAAGAGAGAGACCCTATCTCTCTCTAAAAAAATTAAACATGGCCAGGCGCAGTGGCTCAAGCCTGTAATCCTAGCACTTTGGGAGGCCGAGGCGGGTGGATCATGAGGTCAAGAGATCTAGACCATCCTGGTCAACATGGTGAAACCCCGTCTCTACTAAAAATACAAAAAATTAGCTGGGCATGGTGGCACGTGCCTGTAATCCCAGCTACTCAGGAGGCTGAGGCAGGAGAATTGCCTGAACCCAGGAGGCGGAGGTTGCGGTGAGCTGAGATCGCACCATTGCACTCCAGCCTGGGTAACAAGAGCGAAACTCTATCTCAAAAAAAAAAAAAATTAAACATTCGCCAGGCATGCACCTGCAATCTCAGCTATTTGGTAGGTTGAGGTGGGAAGTTCGCTTGAGCCCCAAGAGTTTGAGGCTGCAGTGAGCTATGATTGCACCACTGCACTTGAGCCTAGGTGACAGAGTAAGACCCTGTCTCTAAAAAAGGAAAAAGAAAAAGTAAGTGTAAATACAAATGCATGCAAGCATTCTTCATTGAGATGAATAACTTCTAAAATATTTAAAGGGATTTTATTTACCAATATAAAAACTGTTTTGTTTTCAATGTGGTAAATAAATGCACACATATACACAGAGAAATATTATTCAGCCTTAAAAAAAGGAAGGGCATTATACTCAGTTAAATAAGCCAGTTACAAAAAGAGAAATTCTGGCCAGGCATAGTGAGTCACTCTTGTAATCCCAGCACTTTGAGAGGCTGAGGCAAATGGATCACATGAGGTCAGGATTTTGAGACCAGCCTGAGCAACATGGAGAAACCTCCTCTCTACTAAAAATACAAAAATTAGCCGGGCATGGTGGTGTGTGGCTGTAATTCCAGCTACTAGGAAGGCTGAGGCAGGAGAATCACTTGAACTGGGGAGGCAGAGATTGCTGTGAGCCGAAATCATACCAACCACTGAATGCCAGTCTGGGTGAAAGAACAAGACTCCGTCCCTGCTGTCCCCCACCCACCCAAAAAAAGGACAAACTCTGTATGATTCCGCTCATATAAGGCACCTATAATAGGCAAATTCATAGAGGCAGAAAGTACAATAGAGGTTACTGGGTGCTAGAGGGGAGGGAGAAATAAATTATTGTTTAAGGAGTACCAACTTTCTTTTGAGACTATGAAAAAATTCTGGAAATGGATACTGGTTATGGCTGAACAACATTGTTAACATAATGCCACTGACTGTTTTAAATGATTAACATGCTAAACGTTATGTTACTGTATTTTACCACAATTTTAAAAAATGGAAGAGGGAGGCAAAGAGTTAGTGTCAAACTGACGCAATGTGAGAAAGCTCAGCCCTAGTTTCTGGCTTTGAATCTGGAGGAAGGAGCCATGAGCTAAAGAATGAAGATAGTTTCCGGAAGCTGCAAAAGGTCAGGGACAGATTCCCTCCTGAAAGCCCCAGAAAGAAGCACAGCCCTGCTGACACCTTGATTTCAACCCAGTAAGACATATTTTGGACTTGTGACCTACAGAGCTAAAATAATAATAAGATAATAAAGTTATGTTACCACCAACAATTTTATTTTGCTTTGTTTTAAGCTAACCGACCTAATACAGCTGCCATATTTTGTGACACTTACCTAAGGAAGGAGAAGGCTTCCCATCCCTGAACATTCCTGGCTAAGTTAGTCCTTTCTCAGGGCCCCTGGAAACCTCCAATTCAGAGAGGTGTAGGGCAAAAAAAAAAAAAAAAAAAAAATCACAAGCTGGATGGCTCAGGTAGGGTGGCCCGATGTAGCAAATGAAAGTACAAGGCCAAAACGAAACCCAACCGGAACACCGAGTTAAAAGTGAATTGACCACGCAATATTTGGGACATACTTAATACTAAAAATTACTGCCTGTACATCTGCAATTTACCTTTAACTGGGCTCCTGTGTTTTACATGGCAACCCTACTCCTGGGTCATAGTGAGACCACACACGGGGTCTGTTGCAAGTTTAAAAGACTAACGGGAAGACCTGGCATTTTTCCGATTTCCAAACCCTCTTTAAACACTTGTCCTCGTCCCCTCCCCGCAGGCCTTCAAGTTGCTCTGGCACATGGGCCAGCGCGGGAACACCTTGCGCAGGCGCACAGAGTTCCATGGGGGATGCTCAGTAGGGTCTGGGACACGCGCGGGAGACCCTGCGCAGGCGCACAGCGGCTGGCGGGGCTACCGCGGTGCGGTCTCGCGCCACCTCCAAGCCGAAGGCAGCACCTGTCGCCTCGGAGGAGCTGCCAGCTCCCTCCCTCCTCCTCCGCAGGGCGCGGTACCTCTATTTATATCGCTCAGCCGGTACAGGCCTATATTGGGCAGTGCCATCAGTCAGGCCTGCTGGCCACCCTGCGACCCGGGAACGTCCAGGACAGGTCGTGGAGCCATCGCGGGGCCCCTGCTGAGCAAGTGGGGCCACGCCCGGAACCAGGCGGCACCTCCGTAAGTAGGGGCAGCGCCCCAGGGGTACGCGGCCCCAGTCACAACCCCTGCCTCAGCTCCAGGCGAGCCCCAGCACTTGCAGCCTCTGCTCTAAGTGACTTCCCTCCCTCCGGTCGCCTAGGGCCGGCGCCTGGCGTCAGGTCGGACTCAGCAGGAGCTTCCCTTGCAGGCGATCTCCGCCAAGGTCTCTGCTCTTCACCTTCATAGTCTTCAGAGTATTATCATCCAGTGAATTATCTGACCAATGTATTATTGTGCCTTCCTCGCTAGACTGTAAGCACCACAAAAGTAGGGGCACTTCTCTGTTCTTGGTTGTCTTCCCGGAATCTAAGATAGTGCCTGGCACTTAAAATGGTTCGTTTAAATTCAATAAACGCTGAATGCATCCCTGAGCAACTCTCTTAACTTTAAAGCGGGAGAATAATTGCCCCACATTTTCCCCAAATGATTCTTAAGAGGAACTAATGAGCTATAATGCGGATTAAAGGACTTTGAAAAGTATAAAGCACTGTGAGAATGCAAAACTGTGAACTCGGCAAGAAAAGAAAAAGAAACTAGTCTTATTTGTCTTTATTATCCATGTGCCTGGCTGTTACCGGATGCCCGGTGTGTGGGATGGATTATTATTAAATGAATCAGGTCTTTTTTCATGCTAGTGAGAAGTACAGAGTACATTTAGGGTGGTGCGTGTGTTCTGAGCCATTTCCTACCAGCCTCTGCAAGTATAGGATTTGAGCAAGATGGTGTTGCTTAAACAATATAGGGTGTGGAGACAAAATGGTCTAAACTGGGTGTAACAAACTTAAATAGCTGTAGGATAATGTAATGGACAGGAAAGAAAAACAACAGCATAAAACTTACAAATAATGACTGTCACTCAGGTCTCAAAGGGGATAATGGGGCCCGGTAGATGTGCCAGCTGGGATGTGGCAGCTGGCTACTCAGGTCCTGCACATTGTTGCTGCATGGGAATTAAGGACTCAGTGTTGCCATAGCTTTCATTTTTTTCAGTAGATGCTGGAATATTTCAGCTTAGCATGTTGACAGCTAATTTACAAAACAAAACTACAAACAAACGAACAAAAAACTGAGCAGCCAATTTGTAATCTCAGGCATAAGTGAAGCCAATACCTGGCTTCAGTTGTTCCTTAAGAATGGGGCCAAATCCCAGAGAGCAGATGATGACTGGGAATTAATTTTGAGGGTGCAAGTGAAAAGTGGGTATCATAATACATCAAGCTAAAAGCAAGGGAGTCACTTCATGATTCTGAATGATTTCTTTGACTGGAACAAGAGGATAGCAACTTGAAGCATTAAGCACTGATGAGTAGGAGAAAACAACTGTTTTCCTTCTGCTCTTACGCAACAATCAACACAGAAAACATCTGTGTCCTCTGCTAACCAAGAGGTATGTGGGGATTTCTCCCCATCAGCAACCAGTCACTCAGTTGTGCAGCAGACACCAGCTGGGTGTCCTTTAACTCAGTGCAATTCTGACACCGTCTACCTGGAGACAGTGTCAGATCCCACAGGTTGAGGGTTCAGTCCCACAGGGCTACCACATTCTTCAGATACTAGTCCCAGCATCCAGAACTTCTGACTGACCCATCACAAGTTGGGGTTCCCTCTTTGGGTTTAATTTGCTAGGGCAGCTCACAGAATTTGGGAGAACACTTAAGATTTCCAGTTTACTACAAAGGATATTAACAAGGATACAGATGAAGAGATATATAGGGTGAGATATGGGGGAAGGGGTACAGGCAGGTGCACTGCTCTTCAGGATCCCTCTACATGTTCAGCTGTCCTGGAAGCTCTCCAAACTCTGTCTTTTTGGTTTTTTTATGAAGGCTTCATTACATAGGCATGCTTGATTGAACCATTAGTTGGTGATGAATTTTACTTACTGCCCCCTCCCTTCTCTTCTCACTAAGGTCAGGGGATTGAGCTGAAAGTCCCAATCCTCTAATCCTGCCTTGTTCTTCCTGGTGACCAGATCTTATCCTGAAGTTCTAGCGGCTGCCAGCCCTCAGTGAACTCATTAGTGTACAGAAAGGCATTTATCACTTTGGAGATACCAAGGATTTTAGGAGTTGTATGTTAGGAAAAGGTCAAACACCAAACACATATTTTATAGTATCACAATAAATTTTATATGTAGAAAAAATCTTGGATATAGTGTTTTATTAACATGTATAAAACCTAAAGAAAAAAAGGTTATCCTTAACTTGTAATTTAGGACTAAGCAAGGCATTAATTTAACTGAACAAACCATATTGAGCAACTCCTGTGTCCAGGTGTCATCACAGACAAGAATACAGAAGTGGCCAGGCACAGTGGCTCAAGCATATAGTCCCAACACTTTGGGAGGCCAGGGCAGGAGGATTACTTGAGGCCAGGAGTTTGAGACCAATCTGGGTAACATGGTAAGACCCTGTCTCTACAAAAAAATATAAATAAATTAGGTGTGGTGGTACATGTAGTGGTGTAGCGATGGGGGAGGCTGAGGTCCCAGCCTGGGCAACAGAGCAAGACCCTGTCTCTAACATAAATAAGTAAAAATTTTAAAGAATACTGAAGTGATGAAGACAAGTCCCTTACCCACAGTGTGCTCATCATTGACAGAAGAGGCAAGCATCTGCAAAAGTGAATGGCAATAGCAGTGCAGCAACCACAATGTACACAATATCAGCAAGGAAGCAAAGGGACATGTTAGTGAGGAAGTGATATCTGAGTTGAATTTTGAAGACCCACTTGTATTTTTTCAAGTGGATGGGGGAGATATTTCCAACACAGACTTACATGTGTAAAGACAGAACAGCATGTTAAGAGCATTAGAGCTGTGAGTAGTTTTGTACAACTCAAAGATTGAAAAATATAAGGAAGGAAAGTCCAGAGATGAGGCAGGAAAAGTTGGTAGGTGCCAGAATGCCTGAATGAGGGGTAGCATTGGTGAAAACAGGCCCAGGATATTTTTTTTAATGTGGGGTAATAACTTTATACATAGTAGTGGCCAATGTATAAAAGAGTCCTACCCTTAAAAACAGTTTTGTTTTAAACATTGAAACTAGGACATGATTTTCTGACATCATAATGTCACTGTTTCTTGTTTTTCCAACCAATGTCTGTTGAAGGAAGTTTTAAACAGACTGGAATTTAGCCCTATCGAAGTCATTTCTCCTGTCTTCAGTTTTTTGCCTTGCTAAAAATCAAGGGTTGATGTTGATCAACTCTATCATGATTATAAGCTACTCACCATACTGAACATTTTTATGGGGAAAAAATACCTGCCAGGTTAGGAATATATTAACTTCTTTTCCTGCTGAAGCAGGATTAGGAATTGATTTTGCCCTTGCCTCCTATACAGGCTGATACCAGGGGTATTAAGGCAGAGGGAGGGGTAGAACCACAAGTTTTCAAAGCAGTCCTCACCAGACTGGATAGAGAGGTCATAATCTTTTGTTTTTTCTAATCACTTATAAATTGGTCTACCTTCACCCTGACACCTTAAAAAGGAAATTCATAATATATCTATTATCTCTCTCATACACACACACACACACACACACACACACAGAGACACACATATGCCATATCTGTGAATGGCAATAGCAGTGCCACAACCACAATGTAGAGTTTCCCACCGCATATTCTCACTCATAGGTGGGTGATGAAAAATGAGAACACATGGACACAGAAAGGGGAGTACTAAACACTGGGGTCTATTGGGGGGAAAAGGGGAGGGCCAGTGGGAGGGGGAGGTGGGGAGGGATAGCCTGGGGAGAAATGCCAAATGTGGGTGAAGGGGAGAAGGAAAGAAAAGCACACTGCCATGTGTGTTCCTACGCAACTGTCTTACATGCTCTGCTCATGTACCCCAAAACCTAAAATCCAATAAAAAATTAAAAAAAAAAAAAACCAATGTAGAGTTTCCTAGACAAGAAGGCACAGTCATATATCACATGATTTACAACATTTAGGTTTCTTAAAAGCTGTAAGTGACTCAAACGCAGTTTTTTAAAATTTTAAACTTACACAATATTTAAGATGTACAAAGAGGCATTAAGAATAACAATGTATGTCTTGGATACCCACCAAACAGCTGGAGAAATTAAATATTTATATAATTGAAACTCCTTGTCATCCTCCTGTCTTTATATTCCACTACAGTTGTACAGATTCTTAAAGAATTTATAATTCCAAACTTACAGAAAAATTCCAAGAATGGTACAAAAAGTTCCTGTGTGCGCTATGCCAGATTCACCAAATACTCATAGTCAGAAGTGAGCATTGGTATTCACTCTATGAAAATATAGAATATTGTTTTGCATATTAGAAACATATCAGTGGCATGTAGCATGTATTCTACAGTCTTTTTCATACAATATTATGTTTGCGAGATACAGCCATTTGTACAAATGTAGATCTAGTTCATTCTTTTTTTCTGTACAATATTTGCTAGTGAATATATTACAATATGACCTCCTACTAATGGATGTTTAAGTTATTTCCAAATTTTTGCTATTTCAAACAGTGCTGCTATAAATTTAAACTAGTGAAACTTCAGCAAAACATGGAGAGTTTCCTAGAAAAGAAGGCACGGTCATAGATCAACCATTATTTAGAGAAAGTAGCAACTTAAGCAGTAAAAATAATATAGTAAAGATAACGTAAACATTATAAGATTAAATGTTGTGAAACAACCATAAATTAAACAAATTGCCATTTTTTGCACCACATTAACATTCACAGTAGTTGATTTCTCAAAATGAAATGTAGTAGACAGGAGTATAACTGCTTTTTTTTTAAATTGCATTTTAGGTTTTGAGGTACATGTGCAGAACATGCAAGATAGTTGCATAGGTACACACATGGCAGTGCGTTTTGCTGCCTTCCTCCCTTCACCCACACTTGGCAATTCTCCCCAGGCTATCCCTCCCCAGCTCCCCGACACCGCTGTCCCTCCCCTGTTCCCCCCAACAGACCCCAGTGTGTAGTACCCC